TAACCTGAAGGAGAGCACCAGCATCATTAGATACAGGAAGATGAACAGCAGCACGAACAGCAACAGCAGCAGCAGGAGCAGCAGCTGGGGGGGGGAGAAAGAAAGAAAAGAAAGCAATAACGTTTTGCTGGTCGGATGCACACTCTAGGAAGTGAAGATGTGGGGTGCTGCAGTGCTGCTCATCTGTCTCCTTTTTTTTATCTGTCTCCTTTTTATTTTTATGTTTTTTTGTTTCTGTTTTTTTTTTTTCTTTTTTTTTTCTTTTTTTTGTTGGTGTTGGTCCTGCTGTCTCCTCTTTTTCTTTTTCTTTTTCTCTCTCTTTCTCCATAGCAACCAGCTGCTGCAGCTGCTGCTGCACCTGCTGCAGCAGGCTAGCTCCGTCTGCTGCTGCTGCTGCTGCTGCTGCTGCTGCTGGATCCAGCAGCAAATACTGCAGCGCGGGGCCCACTGCTGCTTCGATAGCAGCAAGAGGNCTGCTGCTGCTGGATCCAGCAGCAAATACTGCAGCGCGGGGCCCACTGCTGCTTCGATAGCAGCAAGAGGCCGAGGGTCTAGCACAGCCACCGTCACCCCACTAGGCCGGTACCTGCACGCAAACCCTAAACCCTAAACCCTAAACCCTAAACCCTAAACCATAAACCCTAGAAGCTGGATTGCAGCGAAGAGCACCTCTCTCTCCCATATTTCTCAACGCAGGAAACCCTAAACCCTAAACCCTAAACCCTCACATAAACCCTAACCCCCAAACCCTAAACCCTAAACCCTAACCTAACCCCCAAACCCTAAACCCTAAACCCTAAACCCTAAACCCTAGATTTTTACGTTTGCTGGTGATAGCGTCTGATCGCCTCCCCCACCGAGAGGCCCTGACCCTCGGCCCACCGCTGGAGGCCCCGCCAGCTGCCGTGGTGTACCTCACCCAGCCGCCCCTTTCCGCACTTCTGCAGCAGCAGCAGCAGTAGCAGCAGCAGCAGCAGCAGCAGCAGGGAGAGCAGCAGCAGCAGGGAGAGCAGCAGCAGACGCAGAAGCATAGACGTGGAGACATGCCCTGGAGAAAGAAGCGAGGTACAGGCTGCTCTGGTTCTTAGCTAGCCAGCTAGCTCACACACACACACACACTAGCTAGCTAGCTAGCTAGCTAGCTATCTAGCTATCTAGCTATCTATCTATCTAGCTAGCTAGCTAGTACTAGCTAGCTAGCTAGCTAGCTAGCTGTCTACCTGGTAGCTCCCTACCTACCTATCTACCAGCTCAGCAGCTAGCTACCCGTCTAGCTAGCTGAGTAGCCACGTGAGGTAACGCCCACCAGCTAGCTATTTAGCTAGCCAGCTAGCTAGCTAGCTAGCTAGCTAGCTAGCCCCCTGCTGCATCCCCCCACTAGCTGTCTAGCAAGCTAGTGTTTTCTTCCCCCCCTCCCCCCCCTCCATAACTAGCTAGCTAGCTAGCTAGCTAGCTAGC